TTAAGCCGACATACACGTCGCTGGCGCAGTCGACGTTAACTGCCATGTGAGTTCTACCATACAATAAGAATAGGGGTCTGCGGTTCATGAGGACACAGAGACCCAGTCTCAGTTGAGAACGCTGGGTGCGAGTATAGCGCTTCAACTCCAGGATCATCATTATTGTCGTCTGCTGTTTTAGGCGAGAAAATTGCTGCCGAGTCTCTGTCTTGTCCGAGAGTGAAATTAAACCATCGACTTTGTGTGCGACGCAGAGATGCCACAATCACTACGCTACATGGGCTTCTGTGCAAAATGAGTGCCTTTGAATCCTAGGCGCTATGTCCTTTCACTGAGCAGCCTTTTTGGATTTTACCGTTCTTATGAATGACCTCAGCGCTCTTGTTTTTTTTTCCTGTCGTTAATTGTCACTCAAGCAATGACAATTTAAATTCCAGGAAGCGGCGCACACTTCCACCTCGCCACACCCTAGTCCAGTATCTGAAGGCTTACTTACTGGGAACCGTCGTCATAAGCTAACACAAACACTATGCCAATACTTATTGATAAGGTTTTACTTGAATCGCTTGCTCAAGCAATAAAAAAGAGTAAACTCACTAACCATTAGCAGTTGCACCAATGTACAGCGGAGGATATCAATTGTGAATTTGCGCAATTGAGTTTTTAGAGCTGAAGACCATTTACACAAAAGCATATCTGAAGTCATGTAAAATGGTTTCTGGTGATTGAAGGTGATCGGTGATACACATGATTAGCATAAAAAGCTAGATTTCATACCAATCAATTCCGTGCGTACTAAATACGACTCTTTTCAGAAGTCGTGGCATTCTTGAACGGCTTCCAATCGCTTCGCCATCTTGCCACCGTCATCACTTTGAGAGGTTTAGCAACATACGACCTTTGTCAAATTAAGACTTTGTTGCCCCACACGTGTTGAATAATGGTCAAGCGTGCGCTAACTGTAAGTCTAAAACAACAGAGTCAGACGTTTTCGGGACGTCGTAGTACAAAGTTGATTCCTTTGTGAAATAGCGACGATGGATATGTCAGCCTTTGATTCGGTTTTTTTCAACGACAATCGATTGTTGTGTCAGCTGCGGATCCCATGAATTGTCCACTACCAGTAAAGGAATGTAAAGAGCTGAATCCGAAACGTACCATCAGAAAAGACAGCCCTTTGTTGTTGCATAGGTCTCAACACTAATTCCACTTGCGATCCTTGTAAAATATATTTTTTGAACATCTTTTCTGCCAAAAGAAAGTTCTTTATGTTGATGCAATGTGTCGTTTTTTTTTTTGTATAGAACATATAAAAATATTATCACCTCAGCACTCAACACTTGTCAATGCACAAATAGTTTTGTGCATGTTCAAAGGTTGAACAAAAGAAATTTTTTGAAGGAATTTTACGACTTTCCAAAAGAGGGGCTGTTCCTGTTTGGTTCCGTAGACTTAGTCTACCGTTTCTCCTTGATGAGGACGATCTGATTGGAAAGTTTTCAAACCACAGAGCGCAAGCGGATATGCAATGAGGGAAAACACATTGATTATTCATGGCGAGATTGAATAGAAATCGGCTTTTGCAGGATTGAATGCATACACGAGAACTAATACACTCATTGATTTTCTTGTATGAAGGAGCACTTTGAATGAGGTCATTTTGCGAGCACTGCCACGCTTCAAGAGATTTGTCTTCTTGCAGTTACAAAGATTCCATTACAAGGACGAGGCGGTGCAAAAATCGACTCGAGTCGCTCATATTTTGAATAATATGGAGAAATTGGAGCGTTTACCCACATGAAACTTCAAATAGTCTAATCCTATTCTGCCAATACCAAGAAATCAAGTGCCATTCTCAGCAGGGTATAAATAAAACGCCTTACAAAGTGATTGAGCTATGGCTGTTTGTGTTCGGGTCTCATTTTCGACCTATGACATGATTTTAGTAATCTTTCATCAAATAGGATTTATGCAGGTCCTTAGGCGTGAAGATATAGCCAGAGTTATGTTGGACTTCCATTTACGTGGAAATTTTACGTCATTGCTACTAATTCCAAAGTTGAGTTTACTTTCCACTATGTTTTTTATGATGAAAACTAATATAGCGACAATTTGGATGTGTATTTGTTTCTTGAGTTGGACTTTTTACAACGCTGAAACATGCTTTTTAAATTCATTAAAAATTAGCGAACAACCCTGTTGATAAGACTAAGCTTAGGCGCCCAAGCTTATGCACAAATGCATGTGAACTTGTGAAGAAAATCTTTAAGCACCAGAGCCAGCGTTTATTCAGAGTTTCTCAACGCGGAAAATTAACATTTTGTCAAATAATATGATTCGCACACCGCATGCGAATTGCACTGCACCAATAGATGAAGTTGTTGCGAAAAGGTAATGAATCCGAGTGTGAAATATGGTCCTATTTTTGCTGCTATAATGCTTGCTTAATAGCTATAATTATCTCATTTTGAAAAACCCTTCAACTTTTCGTTGTTTTTGAATGAGATAAGTACAGCTAATGTTGTTCGATTAGGTTTGGGAGATCGCTAATGATTATTGTATGACCACTGAACACCCTGAGACGTCAACTAATTCGCAAACGCTTATATGACCGTCTATGTACAAAGAAGCAATGCCAAATGTGTTTGACGGCGGAGACGGTGATTACATGGCATAGGCATAGTTTATCTAGTCTCTTGCAGTGTGCAGCAAAAAGTGCTTAGCGAAACGGCTAGCCCATTCTATATCCCGCAGAAAAAATGTAGCTGAAAAAAGTTCCTAAGGTCGAACAAATTGGGTTAGGAGGTTTTGCCTTATACTTGATAATCGCCGGACTTCGCGCCCACCGACTACCGCTTCTTCAATGATCTGGACAACTTCTTGCAGAGAAAAGGCGTTACAGCCGGCAAGATACAGAAGATGTCAGTCGAGTTGGCTGGAATTCCAGGGGGCCAAATTTTGAGCGCCAGGAATGAGCAAGCCTACTTTTTCTCGGCAAATGTATATTTATTGCAGTGATTTTTACTTTGATAAATAAAGACGTGTATGAGCTCAGTTGTGGTCATTCAAAAAATCACGGTCCAAAGCGTAATTACTTTTGCACTGCCCTACCAGATCTGGCCTACTCAATGACGTTTTTTTTTTTCTAAAAGATCACCCAAATAGAGAGCGGATGTCAGAATGCGCAATTACAAGAAGTTAGATTTAGCCTAATTGCTCATCGAACAGTAGAAATTTCATGAGGGTAACTTCAGGATGCTCCTGAGTGGTCTCTCTTGGTGATGAGCTGACAAACTACATGCATTCATACTTGTTTAAAGCACTTTCTTCGAAAGAGCTTTTTATACACTCTGTCACATTTTCATTTCTTTTGACCAATTTTTCAAAAATAGATCAACATCGTAATTTATATTTCCGTTAGCTCGTTAGATTATTTCATGTTCAAACTGCACCATATCACTTGTCATCATGCGATAAGATTAAACTGGAATCAACTGCTTTCACTTTCTGCTATCAGCGAAAAGCAGTTTTGTTCTCACAATAGTTTATATCTTCTTCCATTCCTGAATATTTCTCGTAATCACAATACACTACGGTATCTTGTGCTCTTAATACTGTTTGACTTCAAATTGTTGAGAGAGTTTTTATTCTCTCATTAAGAATGTTAAAGTTGGTATTCCGCTCTGGGAATTGATACTTCTCTTGCTGGAAAGATGATCCTCCTAAATTAACGATAATTAGTAATGTCGTGAAAAGGTAGGTTAAAAAGTACAAAATTACAGAACTAGCCTTCGCTGGGTACGAATCTTTCGCAGGACCTAAAACTGTATTTGTATAAACAGAAATTATATAATGGAATGACACTGCGCTCTACACGAATTTTCGTGCTTACCGTTTTTTTATCAATGCTACAATCTTATAAGTATGTGACAGAAATGTTGACAGTGATATGTAGGACTTTGAAGGGTAAGAGGGGGTGAAGCGGTATTTTACTCTTACCGACGCCACATGATGACCACTGCACTACCCAGGCTCCTGATCTGCTGTCGCTCAATCTGCTATACAATGTATCGGATCTGTGAGCAGCCAATCATAAAGGGATCCGGTGTAGTGAGTACATAACGGTAATAAACCCAGTAAGATCAAAGTTTATGTGATGGCTGTTATAGGGACTTTGAAGATGGCCATTTTTCTACTCGAAACATGATCTTTTTGAAATTTGCTAACTTGCAATATGAATTTGGTAATTACAAGTGGTAGTCTGACGGTACAATGTCGAAGAGTAAAGCGGGTAAGGTAAAGCCTACTATAACCTTCCACCTTAGTTATTTTTATGACGTTTGCAATTGGTTTTGCAAACATGAGAGCGAGCTTTATCATGCAGCATAATTGCAAATTATGCAAGATTGATGGAATTTAGGCGACGATGCGGTTGCAGAAAGGACGGCTAGGAAGTGGATCACGGAGTTTTAAGCTGGAGAAAACAGTCTGGAGGAATCTGGAGGATCAATCGTCTCGGGCCGCCTACACGAAGTTTCACTAATCATAAGCGCCGCTTCACTAGCGTTTTTCCCACGCGCCATTTGTGCATGAGTAGTAAGCGAATTTCTTCTCATGGCAGCTGTTTAGGAACCAAAATCAAGCAATTTCATTTATTTCTGGTTAATAAATTTGCAAAATAAAGTTCCCACAATCAGTGTTTTTTAGGTACAAAAGTCTTCATCTATTAGGTCCTAGAAACTATCATATAGAATACTTTTATATGAAAAACATATGAGCAATGTTCGAAGTTAGTAATTCTACTGCATTTTTCGCAGTGTTATGATCATTCATATATTCCTATGATAACTGATTGGTGAGCAAAACTACGGCCTTAGGCGAGAGTCGCATGGCTGTCAGCTCAACTAGGCTTATAAAGCGATATCGCATACCCTACCAAACCTGTTAGGTGGCTGATAGCTAACATAGATACCTTGAAGAATGGGTGGTAGCGCAAATGTGCCTCGGTGGTGTAATGGTAAAGCACGCGTCCCATGATAGGATTAAGCGCGGGTTCGATTACCGCCTGAGGCCATGTTTTGCTCACCACTCAATTCTCTTAAGAATATATGAAACATATAAGTAACACAAAAATTGCATATCTTTGTTTTTACTATCATTATAACAAAAAGGATGCCGAAGTTGTAATTATACACCTAATAAAGATATATGATCTGCAAAAATTTTCCGCGCGTCATTTTTAAGGGTTAAACGCGGCCTGAGACTCAGAGTCTTGCAAATCACTAACATTCTTGGATAATCCACAATCGTGGGTTCTTATTGTTTATCCAAAGACAAATAGAAAAACGACCCCTTTTTAGGCAAGAACTTTTCATACGAGTGTTAGTTATCATTTGGAAGCTTGGATCACTGGCTACTGCGCTACTTGGCAGTTTCTAAGAATGCCTTTTGAAATGCTGTAGCAGGAAGAAAACATCTGTGTTTCGTACACGCATATTTCTCGCAATACGGAGCTCTTTCCTAAAATTCAAGTATCCATTTGATAGCGTAAGTCTCAATGATTCCAACGCTGTGCTTGTTTCCTGGAAAGACCGCTTCACTGCAGTGTATAGGGTAAAAACGATTGCTTCACATACGCGGGTGTTCGGTTCTTGAGCTAATCTGCGGGATTGGGGGAGGGAAGGGAGGGGGCGGAGGGGGAGGCTGCTCGCCGTTTCAATATGGCTACCGATCGATGGCGCATACATGCGCAGTTTGAATTTGTTACCCAATTGAGAATTTTTTTACCGCCCTGAAGGAAACTTCAGACAAAACGAATGACTCTGATAATACGAGATTTCCCCTACACTTTCATATGCTTTTGGTGCTTCCAGCGATCGAAAAAGGTGCCATGTGCGCACTAGCCAGAGATCTGAGCGTTCCAACAATTACTAACACTCTTGAGAAAATTCTTGTCCAGCCAAAGGGGTCGCTTTTTCATTTGGCCCAGGAAAACCGAAAAGAACCATGATTGTCTTAAACTGCACTGGTTTACAGAAAGTTCATATCCATTATACACTTGTTAACACATTTATGACCTCATGCATCTTATACCGTTCATAGTGTCCTCATCTTTCACGCCGAATATGCACAGATTTCGGAATACACAGCCCTTAAATTTTGTCGTATCAAAACTAGTCTTATGGGCCTTCTAGGCCCTTTTCATAATACTTTCCTATCTATTTTAATCGATGAAAATAACGGAAATTTTACTGTTGCCCACTTGAGTCACTCGACCATCAACAGCACTACAGGTGATACAGGTTATTTAGTGAAAAGAATAAAAGAATGCGGATCTCAAGAGATTAGCTGACCACATCTTCACTGACAATTGATTACTGAGTCTACACTGAGAATATTCAATTCTATTTCACGCCAATGAACGATTTGAATTTTGGCCAGCCAAGAGGAATTGGATACAGTCGTGAATGTGTTGAATCAGTTACTACCTTAAACACATCGACCCTTTCATAATTATCAAACGAGTAAGACGAAAATTCTAGAGAGCACAGAGAGGGAAAACAAACGCTGACTGATGACAACCATATTACGTAACTGCCAAAAATACTATTCGTTGAATTTTAAGAAAGTCAATGAAGGGAAATGTTCAAACGTGAGTTTAGATACCTTTGTCAGCCTCTCTGTGAAGCAAAGGACGTTCTTCCGGCACCTTAATAGTTTAAATTTGAGCGAATTACTCTGTTATCAGATTAGTTGATTTGAAGAAAAAAATTTGGGACAGAAATCAAAAGCTCACCTCTCCACGCAAATGTCGCGTCAATGTATGCAGGGTAAGTGACACAATGACGATGAAACCGAATATAAGGACGACGATTAACATCAAGAAAGGTCTCATATACGGTCTCCATGTTAACCAATAGGACTCATCGTATTTCATATGTCTGATATATTGATGAGTTCCTAAAATCCCTGTAAAAGTCAATCATCAAGTCCAGATATAGTGGACATTTGAGCACAAAGAACCAGAAAATTTGATCATGATTTTTCTAAAAGTTTCTTTTCCAGGCAGTATTGAGATCATAAGTAGGAAACTTATGAACTATTGGTACTATTACTTTGTCTGCTACAATTAGTTTCTATACGACCCGTAATCGCATTCTGCCTATTCGAATCCAGTGCTAAGACCCTCTTCGTTTCCACACATGCATCCTCCACATAAGTCATCGTATTTTTTCATCTGCTGCTTGAGGATTTTGCCTTCTTCACGAATGTCGTGAGTGCTGATTGAGTCGATTCTCCTCACGGTCTCAACGTAAGCGAACTAAAGCGTTCTTTCGTAATTACAGGGGAGCTTTGTGTGCAAGTCGAGCTTGCATCGTGTTGGCTTGCACCGCTGATCACTCAACTTTTCTCGCCTCCGTTATGATGGCTCTTCTCAACTTGAAGAGAAAAGGCTAAGTCAGCGGCTGGCTCTGCCCTATGAATATGATCTTTCTATATTCTTTAATCGCCAGCGACAAAGGGCTTATCGTTCGTTCTGCGGCTTTTTACTGTTGGAATAAAAGTTCTGAGGCATTTGGAAAAATTGAAAAGTTATGCATGAATTACAAACAGCAACAACAATAACTACTTTTCAAAATAGAGGCCATCGTCTTTCTTCTACGACTTTGTGCCATCGGTCCGCCAAGTGTCGGATCTCTTCAAAGTACCATTCCTTCGACTTCAAATCAAAGAACTCTTGACATGCTTCTTCAACTTTGTTGGACCCCTTGAGCGAGACTTGTCTCCGAGGTCAAGATCTCCGGCATTAAAGCATTGAAACCGGCGTCCAGCAGCAGGCTTGCTTGCTGCGTCTTTACCTTCGTTGATTTCATCGACTGCAGCGCGCTGTGAAATCTCGCTTTCCTCAATATTGACGCAATAAAGCACGAAATTCGATTGTGTCGTTGGACATGGCGGAGGCTTGTAACAAAGAGACCATTGAAGGCTCATGATATCTAGACCTTCAGTGGGAAAATCCCACACAAGAAACTGCAATAATTACATGATATGCTCACACAGAAAAATCTCACATAAGAACTGCAGTATTTACGTGATATGCTCACACAAAAAATCTCACACAAGAGACTGCAATCTGTACGAGATATGGTCACACAAAAAAATCTCATACAAGAAACTGTAATTTTCACATGATATGGTAGTTATCTCATGCTAATTGAAGGTTTCAGAATTTTCTTTGCAAAATTAGTACATCGACAGAAATTGAGGCGGTTTTCCGAGGAGATTTGGAGACGTCTTTGTAGTGTAAAAAGTTCAGTTATAACTTTTCTTCATGCACCTACCATGCATTGCGTTGCCTGACGAAATAACCTGATCGGCGTTTCCTGATGCACGTGACGTTACATTTGGACTTTGGCCCGTGATGTTGCTGTTCTGCTCTGGAATCGACGTCCTCTGGCAATGTCGTGAACATTGGAGATCTTTGCTACTGGAGCTGTGGTTTAAACTGGTTACAAATAGTCACTGCACAGTTTTTATACAAAACTGTTGCCTAGTCCACGCAAGAGAGTGTAGGAAATCCATGTAATTCGCTCACTTCAAGGCTCTTTATTTTGTGACACAGCGCTTTCCTGGCAAGACTTTTGCATTCAATTGATTGCCCATTTCTCAAAGATATTATACCGAACATTTTCACAAAAGGCTATATGTTACACTCAACAATTTACAGAGTTTCAATCTGGACAGTGTTTTTACGGCAGTGGTTAATAGTGGCGAGAGTAGCAAGACCTCTCTCATCACGTGATGCGATTCCGCATAGTGTATTATCGGGAACACTACAGGTGCTCACTTAATCGTATTCAGAAAAAGTGAATATAGGGCAGTGCCTACAGGAGTCCTCAGGATGTGGCGGGAATATAAAAATGCTGAAATGCACTCAACATGTGCTCTGTAATTATTCAACAAAATTGAAAGCTTCATGTTGGACATTTTACAAGTCTTCTTAGATCACACGTGAGCGCATGTGGCGCAGTGGTTAGAGGTGCCCTGCGTCGCACACGAGGTCACTGGTTCGATCTCGCGCTCATGGCTCACCAAGCCATCCATCCCTCCAGGGTCGGTAAATTGGTACCAGACAGGTCTCAGATTTGTCTGGGAGGATAAGCAGCACTGACTCGGTTCAGCGGGAGGCCACCGCGAGTCATTGTAAAGGCCAGATGTGCATTCAATTACCTCAAACGAAGTTAAAAATTGAAGTCGAATGCATGGCGCATCCCTCAGGGATTGATCAACGCCGAGAGCTTTATCCTTTTTATCCTTTATCTTAGATCACACACAGGAATCAGATATGGTTCAAATGATGAGAAAATATATAGAAGAGAAGAGAGACTATGCATACCTGGTAATTATTTTTGAGTCATGCATGCGGTTTGTTATGGGCAGTTATACAGTGAAATACATGTGTTTCGGCCTTCCTGACTGCCCAGTTGCACGTTGCCTTACGGTTCAGTCAGTTCCGCGTGGAGATATTCCCTACTAAGAGAAGGCAACGCCGAACGATTTACACGAGCCATCAAGTGAAAAAATAACTGAATGGGCGATGTTGCACGCTCGATTGCTCTTGGACGGTGATCGTGAAATATTAGACAGAGGATATCTCCGCGCGGAACTGGCTGAACCATAAAGCACCGCGCAACTGATGAATCTGGAAGAGCGAAACACGTGTATTGCAATGTAGAAGTGCCCATAACAGATTACATGCATGACTAAAAAATAATTATCAGGCATATTTAAATTTGAGCGTTGTCTCAGGTAACACTCGAAACGAATGGTATGATAGACTATGTAAAAACGATGAAAGAAGATCGCTGCCAATTGATCTTTACCTGAATTATGAACCACACATTCAACTCCACTAGACATTTTTTAGGTGAGAGATTGTAGATCCAACCTAGACATTGACTGTGTTGGCCCACCGATGTACCAAGTCGGCATTTTATTCTCCCACAACACTCTGGCAGCAATTTTTTACTTCAAAGAGATGAAAAGCTTAGCTTTTCGGAACTTAACTATTG